CAGAGTTGAGGTAGATAAGGACCCAAATGTCATTATTTTTATCATAAAATGCCGGTTCCTATAATAACAATAGTTCATTTTTGCTAGGCATAATAAAATTAATAAAATAGTATGCTTGCTGCATTTTCAACTACTCTCTTAATTGTACCTTCGATCGGTCCAAGGTAGGTACGCTCAAATAACTTTCCCTAGAATTTTGTCACTGATAATATGATATATAAAGAACAAGAATAGTGTTAAAAACAATTATTAAATTCTCATGGTTACTGTAATTAATTCAGTTTTAATTCTTAAGTTAAAACACTTATATTTTTTCATCGGAACATGATTCTTACAGTAAAAAAAGTCAAAATGGAGCCAGACCTACATATTTTTTAGAGCGAATGGTGGCTACGCTAGACAGAGACGAAAAAAATCAGAAGAAAGCAAGTTGCAGCATCCATATCACTGAGTCATTCCATTCCATTTGTTGTCAGAAGATGCATTCAGTTCAGCTTAATGCTTCTCCGCTTATTACTGATATTTTCATGTTACAGGATTCGACCGATTTCATTCGAATTTTACATCTTTGCTTTATAAAATTACACTAATTAATAAAAAAAAATGCATACACTGCAATTTAAAATGTTTCCGACTTTTTGTAAATAAAATAATAAATAATTATAAAAAATGCCATAATTGTGTGTAATTTTTTTTTTAATTAGTTTAAAAAGTTCACGAAATATGGAGAATTATTTAAAAAGTAATGTTAACAATAAGAGTTCCAAACTTTGGATCAATCTCCTTACCAAACAATTTTCACCAGATAGCGGTTATACTCACTATATATTGAGGGTCAAATCCAAATTAGTAAAAAAAAAATATGTTTATTCAGAAAAAGGACGATTTTACGTCTGATTTTGTAACTTAAAATATCGTCTGCCTTAATAGTGAGAATATTTGAGGTCCTCCCAGTGAACCATGAAGATTGAGTCCTAGTACGTAAATATCCGATCATTAGGATCATTAGTTATTCAGGGTGATTCGTTTGTTTTTCTTTTTTCTTTTTTTCGCATTGTATAAAATTTTATTACGTTCTTTTGAAAATGCTGCATGTATTGAGATGATTAAAACGAATGATATACGTCAAGATTTTTTGACCTTTTCGCCCCAAAATGTTTTTAAATGGAAGGAAAAAGTCCTGCTTTCCTTAAATATTCCGTTTAGGTAAAAAAAAAAATTGCGTGTTGATTATTTTTTAATTCCGTTGTTTTTCCTTTTATTCCATTCTCTTTTGCTTTCTTTTCATTCTATTTTCAGAAACTAACAAATTACATGCATTTTCTTATTGGAATAATTTTCCATATTTTTTCATTAGAATAATTTCCAAGCTACCAAATTAAAATTCTGGATTATAAATAAATACTAAATCGCAATTTTAGTTTTTAAAAAAATTACATTGGAAGCAGTTATTATTTGTTTTCCGTTGCATGAGACTTTTTAATGGGTCCTTAATATTTTCATGTCGCTGATTTTAAATCTGCAATTGGTTTTCTCTCTCCAAGCCACCGTTCTTTTTTTTTTTTTTTTTTTCCTCAAATGACATTTTCGGTTGATTTTTTTCTTCTTTTTTTTGAAATGTACAAGTTTAAAAACGTACTATATATTACAGGGGATCACATAAATGTAGCGTCAAACTTCCAGGTGAGTTAGTGCACATCATCAGAATTAAAATTGCATGGGAATCAATGCCGAGAAATGTCGTCATACGCCGCTAGGGGGTGCTTCCTCTATTATGAACTGTTTCTTCGTATGCTTCTGAACAAAGTAATTATTAGTCAAATAAGAACTAAAATTAAAGTGGAAAAAATCATATTTAACAGGGAAGTAAAGTTTCTGTATTATCTCCTTAAATACCAAAGGTAATATACGAGTATCCGTCAAAAACTACGATATTTAGAAGCAAGTTATGAAAAACGTTAATGTAGAGAAATATACATAATGTGAAGTTTTGATCTCATATTTTAGTCTTTGAATTCCAAATAAAATAATTCCAAAACTAAACAATAAAACTGTTTCCAACTCCTTAAGCTCTAAAGCGAACGAAACTATTACCAAATGTTCTTTATTTGAACGACTTCTTAAAGTTAATCAATGATGCAGAGAAGTTAAATAAATACCAATGTGAATGTCATCAAACAATACAATATAAATTACATTAAAAAAAAACATTCATGATCCGCGCATTAGACTAATTTCTTTTGTATTATATACTATGAATTACTCATACATAGTTACTCCATTCTTTATTTGGTAACTGCGCTTCTTACAGTTACAAAATGTTGCAAATAATTGTTGGAATTATTTTAAATTGTGGATATGACAAAAATAGCTGTTCAAAAAGTTATTAATAAATTTTATTAAGTATAATGTTTGTAAACAGTTTTCATGGAAATATTTCGTTTGAGATAATGGATATTAAAACTGGTCAAGACAATAAATAAGTAAATGAAGATACATTGCATATAAAAATGAATTTTAATTTCATCCTTGCTATCTACCTAAAAAACACTAAAGAGTTTTTGCACTTTTGTGTCTTGTTAAAATGGTTTAGTATAACGATTTAATGGTTTAGTTGAACATATTTTTAGGTACAGGCAAAGTGCAGAAATTTTTATTCTGTTGAGCTGGTATATTAGCCATTCTCCGATATTTGAACATGTGATTTAAAGCATAAATATTATTATTTATAGTTTAACTCTAACAGCCGTGTAGTTTAATTACAATTTTTTTTAATATTTTCTATTCATAAAATTTGTTAATTTTAATTCATGAAAACTAAGAAGAAAATTGTTTTACTACAAAGTGATTTAGGGTGGGCTATGGCCTACGTGCGTGTAAAAACTTGAGGGTTTAAACACTTGATCCTTTGATATTCAGAGGTTATTCGGTTTAATTTGCATTGGGAGAATACAACATTCAGGGAATCGCTGACATTAAAAAAAATTTTTCTATACCTTTGCGACAAATTTGTAAAGTGCGATAAAAAAAAAATTCTGCCTAACTTTGGATCTAATGATCAGATTTTCACCTACTAGAACTCAAATTTAATGGCTCATGGGGGGGAGGGGGATCTCATAAACTCTAGTTAATTAGTGCAGACGATATTTTAAGTTAGGAAATCACACAAAATCGCATTTTCTCAGAATAAACTTACCTTTTTCTCGGTGGTTTTGGATTCCTTTCCCTCAAACTATAGAGGATAGCTGCAATTTGGTCCTAATCGGGTCATTTAATAATAGACCCCTTAGTTTTAATCTTTTTTTGCGTATTTCGCCATATCTCGACGAAATGCGCGAAAAGAGAATTGAATTTTAAACGAATTGAAAATGTATCGCCATCAATTATAAAATTTCGCAAATTCGAAGACAATTCCATGCAAAAAGTAATTTTTAATAATTATTTATTGTTATTTTTTTTAATAGTGGTCTCAAAAATTTCAGATTTAACAAATTTTTTCATAATTTCAAGGAATGCAGTTTTATCTTGAAAAATACAAAATTTAAGCGAAATCGGTCGAATAGTTCTTGAGAAATCGAATTCTAAGATCAAAATTCGAATAAGCGAATTTTGTTGTGTGCAAAATTTTTTCATTTCGTTAAAAAAAAAATTTCGACAAATGGCAAAAAGTTTTATTAACATTGAGGACAAAGGCATAGCTAACATTAGGGCAAACAGGACTGAGCCCCGAGCCTCTGAGTATTAAGGACTTCCAAGGACTAAGGATGACCCTGTTTGTGTGCTTACCCCAGAGGCTCCGAAAGTCAAGTTGCACTACTGATTAAGGGGTCAAACTTTGGACTGTTCTGAACAACCTGTTGGAACCATATTTCGCAGATTGTATCTCCCCCCCCCTCCATATTTTGAGGGTAAGAAATCCAAATCCGTAGGGGGAAAAATTAGTTTAATTAGAGAAAATACAAATTTTGTGTCTGATATATATCTGCAGTAATTAATTATCGAATTTGACGAAACCCCGCAAACAATTAAGTTTAAGTCCTAGAACTTGGAAATCCGATCATTAGATCAAAAGTCATTCAGAGTGTTCCTTTCTTTTTGCCTACTTTACAATTTTAATTTAGGTCTGAAAATTCGTATTAAATTTTTTAAATTTTTTTGATCTAGCATTAACGGGTTTACTTTTATAGCTATTAGCATAAATTTAAATATCATTAGCAAGTATTTGGTAAATAATGCGTTTATATATAAGATATTTTGTTGTTTTTAGAATTTACAAACATCTACGGAAAGATAGTCAACAGTGACTCTGTGGGTTTTACGAAGACATCTGTGACTCACCCACTTATAATGATTGATCAGCATATAATAATCATAAATGAATGATTCTTTGCGCTTGCTATTTTTATAGCTTCGCTTGCAGGCATAAATCTTTTCTCCATTACAATAGAAATCACCGTCAAGAATGGCTCAGTAGACTACTTTTAGAAATCTCATGGATTATCCATGGATCTAGAGTGCCTGCTTGCATATGTTTTAATTTGTATCTTCCACTTAAAGTTTTATCTTCCACACTCATATGGATATTTGATTTGTTTTGACTATTCCCGTTAAAGAATTTCAAATGATGTTTGACCGAAATACTTTTGACTATCTTGTGATGAAATCTGCATACATCTTGCTTATTTTTTTTATTACAGTCTGAAGTCTTTGCCTCCACCAATCGAATTATTTGCAATTTATTTATTCACTGCAGATTTAAATTTTAACGAAATTCTTAGAAATATTTATTCTTTTTCACCTAAAGGAGTTTGAAATGATTGAATTAATCACACGTTAAAGTCTAGATGAAATTAAAAATGTCAATCACAGAGATGAATAAATAATTTTCCGCTTTTACGTTCATTCAAAAATCTAAAATAAGTGTTGAAAGCGATAATATGAAAAACGTTGCAGTAATAATAAAACGTAAGTTTGTTAAAATTGTTAAAATTTCCTCCAGCAGCGCTTATCCGTTCTCACGTTCACGTTTTCTCTTATTTATTTCTGGCCAATCATCGCACTCCACAACCACATTACTTAACCGGCTCTCGGTTATGAAGAAGTGTATGACGAAGGGACCTGAAATACATTCCTGGATCAATATTATTTGGCATGCATCTAGATGTCCGAAATAATACATTCCTGACTATTTACTTAAATTTTATTGTCTGTGTTTTCTAAAAAATTTAATTGTTGTTCTTTAATTCTAAAAGCTGTGAAGTTTAATTAGGCTTACATTTACGTATTTGGATCAAAAAGTATTTGTCTAGTAGCCGTGTTGCCAGCTGGCAAAGTGGGTTTTTGAATGAGGTATTTATATGATTACGTTGCATGAAAAAAAATTATTATACGATCGTTTTCACGTAAATTAACTATCAAAACAAAGAGAATTTATATTAATTCTTAAAGTATCAGAAATATTAAGTTGTTGTCAAAATTTTAAAGACACTTTTATATCAACAAAAATAAAAACAAGAGTTCTGATTTTATTTACAGCTTTTCTATACTAATCATTTATTAAATAGAAAAGAATTTAAATTGATTTCTTATGTTGAAGGTACTATTTTTCTTTAAGTACATGTATATACTTGTTTCTTATTTAAAAACTAAGAGACTGGTGTAGCTTACATGTTCATGTATGTTTTATCTTTCAAGACAACCTAAATAACAATTTGATTATTCTTTCAGTCAAAATAATAATTAGTTTACCATAAATTATTATATATTTGGCAGTGGGAACATAAAATATTGTAATTAGGGCAGAATAATAGATTTGTATATACAACTGTTTAAATTTTTTATGATTCATTTTATGCAAGATAAATTGACTATTTTTGCTAATGTTGTTATTCACAATTTCTAATTACCTAATCTCATTCTTTATTGTAACTTATTTTCCCTTTGATGAATTTGTAACGTTATAAATTTTTGCTTGTCATAAAATTAAGAATATTATAAGTTCAACAAAGAATAACATTACAAAGTTAAAATTTTATGATATAATTTTTTTTATATATTTGATATTGTGTAATAAGCTTCTGAACTGACATGTATTTGTATCTTTAGGTTTTCTGTGTACAATTTAAAGTGAACCTGTCCATAAATGTGTATGTGAATCTGAAATCATCTATTGCATTTATTTATATTTGTGGCATTTATTCCATGCAATATAAAGACTATGGAAGTTGCTCATACTAAAACTGTGGAAGAAATTCTACAATCTTTTGGAACAGATCCTGAACGAGGTCTTTCAGAAGCACAAGTTAGAAATCTCCAAGAAAAACATGGCCTAAATGGTATGTATTTTTCAAGATCTAATTTTTATATAATTATGGTTTGTGTAAAATACAAATGTTCACTTGACAAGAATAAGGTTGGGACACAGAGTCAGTTGAGCATGTTCCAAATCACCTCAGCTTTTATCTATTAAAACATTTTCCAGGGTGCATAGCGTTTGTAAAAAGTGTTGTTGATTTTGATTTTGATCTTGTTTTTGATTTTCGTTTTTTAAAAGCCCTTAAAGGTGCTTTTTTTCATTGGGTATTTTTAAAAAGTGCTTAATTTTCTCTTTTCCAAATTGAGATTTTTTCTTTACCATGTTGATTTTTGCTACGAATGATGCAGAAAGACCCTGTTCACAGTGTTCTATTCAACGTTTTCACAGTTATTTCAACCCCATTCTATTTCGGCGCATCGTCAGTTCGTAGTGTATGAAAACGCCATTCGTTTTACATGATTCAAAAATTTTGACAATTGTCAAAAATATTGCCAAAAGATTTCTTTTTTGACATGACGGTTAAAACCAGATAAAACCGCCAATTGTCAAACTTTGCAAACCTGCTTAATTATGATATTTTTTAAGTGCTTAAAATATTATTTGAGTGCTTGAAAAGTGCTTAAAAGGTGCTTATTTTTTGTTGAATAATTTGGCTATGCACCCTGTTTTCTTCAGTATAGACTTTTTGAACAATCAGGTTCATAGTGTACATAATTCTTTATTTGATAAGCTTTTTTTTTCAGTATTTATAATATTTTTATAAAGAAAAAAAAAAGAAAAACAACATTGCAAATTGAAGATATAATTGTAATATTTGTTACATAATTTTCTGAAACTTAAGGATCATTTTTACTGCATACGTCAAATTCTCAATTTTCAAATATATATTTCTTCAGACCCTATTCCAATGAAAAATTTACCTAGAAATCTTTAAACATTGTGAAATTTTCATTACGCACAAAATTTTGGTATTGTAATACAACTTCTTAAACAATGTTCATCGAATTTATTGATTATTGGTAAAATCTGGCCATTACATTTCAAATATACTGGAACAAGTTTTTCTAATAGGTCTTTTTCACTTTATTCTTTATCATAATTAAGAAGACGATTTTTATTATAATTGCATTGCTTCAGAAATCTATTTTTTTAAATTCAAATTTCAAACCTTTCCTTTTTCTTACAATTTTTTTTTATTGTTTATAATATAAATTTCTCTACCTCCATTACATACTTTTTAGTGCTTTTTCCCCTTAAAGAGTTATTTATAGTATTGTTATAGTTTGATGAAGTCCTGAAATATCCGGTTTTATTATCAGCAAATGCTATATTATGATGAAATTGGTGATCTCTAAATACTTGTATTTAAATCATACTGTAGGCTTAATAATTTGCAATATTTTTTATCAGCTTTTGAAATAAAATGTTTAATGTGAAGATGTTTTTTTAATTTTTGACTTATAAAAGAATAGCTGTATTAATTTAAGAAATATGATGTGCTATGACAACTTCAAATCCTAGAATGAAATTGCACACTTTTTGGTGGTTTACCACCTATTACCATGGTTCAATGACCTTGTGGTACCTAGTTGCCTTTTTTTTTCTTGCTGTTTGTCTATTCTTTTCCTTATTTAATGTTTTTTATCAGACAGTTTGATACACTGTTCATTGCTTTTTCTTAAAAAAATCATTGAGCATTCTGAAACATTTCATTATAAGATGGTAAATTTTATTGATTTTTGTTTTAAAATTTATTTTCTAAATATTTCTTATATTGCTGTATTAATAAGTTTCAATTAACAAAATTACAAATCTAAAAGAATTTCAAATCTAAAAGAATGCAAATAAGGAACAAAGTGAAAGTTTAGTGTAGTTTTTATGCACATAAATATTGCTCTTATAAGTAGTTGTAGAATGAAAATTTACAATAAAGGTAATAAAAATTTTGCCAATAGTGAAAATATAGTGAGATATAGTCTGGCTTCTTGCACCATTTATGAATTCTATATCCATGTGCATGTATTATTCTGTTTTAACTTTGATATTTATGTAGTCTAGTAGAATTGAATATATGGGGAAGAAAGCTAGTTCACTTAATTTAAACCAGGTCTCAGACAGGCCTCCGAAGCAACATCAGGGCCGTACTGAGGACTTCAAATTATTAGCCAAAAATCAAAAGTCTAAGCTAGATTTCAAGAATCTTAGCCAAAGGCAAATCTTGACAATTTTTTTGGATAAATTTTTTTCCCATAGGAAATTCAAATTAAGAGTAATTTTTCAGTTTGGGAGGAGTAAATGAGAAGTGAAAGGGAGAGCACAAGAAAACGTTTATGTTTAACGTCTTTTAGGGAGAAAAAAAAGAGTAGGTTTTTTAATTTTTGATAGCTTTTTGATTACAGCTTCTTGACTGATATAAGGATAAACCTGAAGTAGCATTTAATCATTTTAAGATTTTGACTTTTTTTTTACATAATTATATTTAATATTAAATGAAGCCTTTCATTCTTTAAATCTTTTAATTCTTAATTAAGAAATTTTTATTGTCTCACTTTATTTTTTACTTTCACAATCTTTGTCATTCAGAAAAAAAGGATTGAGGTAGGAGATTAGTTATTTAAATCATTTTGTTCTACATAATTCTGTTTTATTAGTTTTTATACTTCTCGTAGATATTTTTTAGCAAGAATTTGTTGGGAACTTAACACGTTCATTGCCAATCAAGTGCCGAGGGTTATATCATTGAAGGGTGGTAATCTATGAAGTAAAGTTTTCTAATTTTAACAACCATTTTAGTTTTTAAATTTTATAATAAGTTTATTTAAATAAGCAATGTGTTTTTGTTACAAGAAAACATATTTTCTGCAAAAACAGTTGGATGATAATATGCATCTTACTACGACTTAATCTGTTTTATTGACAATTGTAGGAAAGAATTTTGTCTTGCTAAATCTAGTGATCAGGCTTCTAGTTTGTTCTGTATTTTATGGTAGTTTGTTTCATGCTTACATAATCTCTTTTGTTGCTTACATTACCTGGACTTAATACGACTCGAATTGGATATGCGATGTGTCTAAAAAAATTACTGCAATCGACTAAAAATGGCAAGATTTGTTCAGAAAAATTTAATTTTCGAGTAATTTTTAAGATAGAGTGTATTTTTAAAAAAATTGTATTAATATTTATTTATTTTTTAAATTTGCTTGCCAATACTTTTGCCAAAACACAATTTGTTACAATGTATTTTATCACATTTGACGAGGTGTCTAATGCTTAGCACGGCCCCTGATAATATTATTTATTATGTTGTATTTCTCTCGTGTTAGTGCAGTTTTCTATGGACAAGAGTTTAACTGGGAGCTGAAAGGCATCGTGTAAAGCCGCACCAATATCACTGTCACTGTATTTTGTTTTAAAAGCATGTTTAAATACAAATACATTACAATTTTGAAATCAAAACTATCTCTAAGATATAAACGCCCAACGTCCATCCATCCCTCAGAGGATGGAAGAAAAATTATCAAACATTGACCAATTTGTGGCAGGGTTCGCCAAGTGGGCCCACTTTGAAAAAACCCGCCCGGGTTTTATTGGGTGGGCCCACCTTGAAAAAACCCACTTGGAACGATAAGTGGGTTTTTTCAACAAAAAAATTTTTTTTTACTAGAACTTATTGTTTCACATTTATTTTTATATAATTTATTGTGCAGCATAAATTTGTCAAATAGAGTTGCATGATTTATATGATTAAGTTTTTAATATTAGTAAAGTAAAAGAAACTCAAATATTCATATAATTTTTATAGTAGGTGCTATTGAAAACTTCAAGTGGGTTTTTTCAAAAAAGTAATATTTTAATGATATTAAATCAAATAAAAATTTAAATAATATAGTCTGAAAAGATCAATTTTTCAACTATAGTTGCATGCTTTATATATTAATAAACAGGTAATATAATACATACAGGTAATATAATAATATAATATATTAAAAAAAATTTAAAAGAAACAATTTTTTTCTTTTTTTACCAAGTGATACATTAACAAATTTAAACAGTTTTATTTTCTAGCTTTAAAAAAAAAAAAGCTAAAACTTTTTATAAGAGAACTTTTTAAAATTATTTATCTAAAAATGAAATCATTTTCCTAGGGTTAATTATTTGAAAACAAATGGGACAAGTAACTGATACTCTTTATAATTATACGTAGTTTTAATTTCACTTTCTATTAATCTTATTATAAAAACATGTAAGACCATTAAATATTTATTTCAGTTTTTTATTTAACTCAAGTCAGATGAAATTTTAGTTTTTACTGATTATAAATATTTACAGATTATAATTTTATAATGGGTAATATCCATATGTTTAATAAATATAGTAAATAAATGTGTGTGAAAACAAAAAGATTAATAAACTTGTTCCTTTTATATTACTGCATTTATATTTTATAATTCTTGAGTTAAAAAATTATGAAACGTAATGTACTTAAAAATAAAGAAGATTCAAATATGTATTAGTGATAATGCGTTATTTAAACTTAATATAAAATACATATAACCAGGGTTCCCCAAGTGGGCCCACTTTGAAAAAACCCACTTGGTGGTTTTTTTCACAAATTGTTTTTTTTTTAAAATTTGGTTCAAAAAGAAGTATCTCCTAATACTATCATTGGACATATCGTTGAAGTTAACAAATATTTTAGAAATGTGCATCAAGCACATGGATGGGCAAATGAAAAAAACTGCTTGATGACCAAATGATACTAGGTGGAATTCATATTGTGAGCGCGTAAAAACTTTTGCCAATAATTACCATAAATATGAAGAGATTGTTCTTGAACAATTTTATATGTCAAAAAAATTAAATAATGTTGGGCTTTACCAATAAACTATCAATTGGGAAAAACAGATATCAATTGTTTCTGAAGCTTTAAAAAAGCTTCAACCAGAAAACATTTCAATTTCAGAACCTGTTGAAATATGAATTAACTTACTATCGTGTGATGAATTAGAATCCCATAAACATTTTGTTAAAAGATCAGGCTGTTCAGCCACATCATTTATCAGCATATGCATCCTGGATCCCGAAACAAGGGGACAATTTTTAAATGATGAACAAGACCAATTAGCAGAAAGCTGTCTTTCTAAGCATCATCCAGAATTTCTGCCACGTGTTATGGCATCCAAAATTTCCGATCCTGAATACTTTCCAAAATCAATGATGCTTGACACTGTTATTGAACAGTTTTCATCAAAAAATAGTGGAAAATTATGGCAAAAAAAAAAAAAAAATAAGTAAATAAATAAAATTCCTAGCTTCCACAAAATTTCTGTCAATTCTTTTTTCTTTGCACTCAGCACCAGCATCCTCTGTCTCTATCGAAAGACACTTTTCAACTTTCGGTTTGGTGCAGAGTAAACTTCGAAATAGATTAGGAATAGATAAAGCTACAAAACTCGTAAAAGTGTATTGCCATCTAAGAGAGAAATGTAGACACTTTGAATCTGTTGTATGATAATAATAATAAAGGAAAAAATTGACCTTTTTTTTAAAGTTAACTCTTAACATCTGCTGACAATTTTTAACTATTTGGAGAAAGTTTATCACAATTAAAAAACAGTTAAAAATTAAAATATTACTTTTAAGATTTTTTAAATATTTTTAAGATTTCATTTGAATACAATTTATTTTGTTTCTTTTAATCATGTTTAAAAATATTGAAAGCAAACAAAAAAAAATTTATTAAGTGATACATTAAACAACAATAAACAAATTTAAAGTTTTATTATCTGATTTTAAAAAAATGAGCTATAACTTTTTATATATGCTTTTTTATAATTTTAAGATTAATTTGTTTTTTGAAACTATAAAGTTAAAATGCATATATTTATCTAAATATTTGAAAAAAGGGACAAGTAACTGATACTCTTTATAATTATACATAATTTTAATTTCACTTTCTATTAATCGTATTATAAAAACATTGAAGACCATTAAATATTTATTCCAGTTTAATTTTATTACAGGTAAAAGTCAGATGAAATTTTAGTGTTTACTTATACAACACTATTTAATAAATAAAAATATTTTCACAGTAAAATTTATGAGCACTAAATGAAAAAACCCAAATTTCCCCGGGTTTTTTCAAATAAAACCCAATTTTCCCCGGGTTTTTTCAATAAAACCCAGGCGGGTTGGGTTTTTTCAAAAATTCCCGGGTTTTTTCAAACCCTGATTTGTGGCGATAAAATGATTGGATTGCTCTGATGGTTGGTTGTGTATAATAAAAAGTGACATTTATTGGCTCAGCAGTAGAAAATAATTTTGAAAAGGATTGCATCCAGCTCTTACCACAAATATTTTTAAGAAATCCATGGGATTAGAGTTGAAAAACAATATTTTTATTTGGTTGGTCTTGTGCTCTATTTTTGTACAGTTTATTAACAGTACTGCCTTATTTTTATTAAGATGTTTTTTAAAAATTTATTTATGATAGTGGATCAAGTTACTTTGACTCATTCTCCCCTTTTCATCATTACTGGAAACTTTTATTATATTTATTCAGATTTTGATTATTCGTTACAAGTTTTCGAAATTAGAAAAACAAAAACATAAAAAAGCTTGGTTTACCAATGTTTTCATAGTTATTTATGTGTATTTAGAAATCAATTATTTAATCAAAGTAAAGTAATAATATTTATTTATCAGAACTAAAGTATTAAGAAAAATTAAAGGAATCTCCTTAAAATCTAACTTTTTATTTATTATAACCTCTGTTTATAAATATTATTTTTAACCAGTATCCTTTCATTCAAAGATTTCAATATCACTGTAATTTAAACGCTAAGTAATATCTAGTTAATAAAAAAAATTCATTAAATAAAATAATTATATTTAAATTAATATTTGTTAACAAATAATATCTTATGCCAAAAATACTGTAATTTAAATGTCAAGTAATACACATAATTAAAAAGAACTTAAAATAAAACTATATTAATGCTGTTTGCAAACAGGAAAAAAAATTATTTGTAAAAAAATTTATTAATAAAAAAGTTATAAGTAAAAAACTAAACAAAATCTTGATTTGTCCACTATATGACAGCCCACTGCAAAAAAGGGTCCACTACATGGTAGGTTTCATGCTACATACTAGACCACAGGGTTATTGAAGTGTAGAATTAACTATTAAAGTATGCTTAAATTTTCAAATGTGTTTTTCTCTGACTGACTAGGTAGGGCTCTTTATTATCTGAATGGGCGATTATCCTAATCATTCTTATCAGTTTCATCTTAAAGTGAATTTCCCAAGTCGTACCATTTCCATGTTAAATATTATAATTAAGGGGTAAAACTAAGTTATTTCTATGCATCTGAACTTTTACATTTTAAAAGTAAAAATTAGTAGTGTAAGATTATTAAGATAGTGTGATACTTCTAAGTTACACACTTGTTCTGTATGTAAGTATAATCTAGATAATTGAGAAATAATAAATTTTTTTTTTTTCTTTTCCAGAGTTGCCTGCTGAAGAAGGTAAATAATAATTTTTGTTGCTTTATATATATTATTTTTATTTATACATATTTCAGGTATTGTGTGTCTCTGAATTCTTTGACTCCTTATGAACTATGCATACATATCCTCAGAAATATTAAAAATATCAACCATATAAATATTTTTCACTATTAACTGAGGCAGTTTACCTTTTTAAAATTTAGTAGTTGATAAAAATTTAAATAATCAGGAATATAAATTATACTTTATTTGTTATTTTATATTTAGATGTTTGACTGTTTTGATGATATAAAAACAATTTACATTAACAAATTTTGTTTGAATCATATATGTTTGTTGAGATTAATGCCTACAGTTTTTGCTAAGATTATCATTTGAAACTGCTCTCTTTAAAAATCTTTTCATTGTTTTATCTTGTTTTTGCCCACTTAATCAACAAAAGCAGACTATGAGTATTTATGTGAAACAAACTTGGATTCTATAGTAATGTTCTCTCAAAATTGTTTTGAAATTGATGATTATTGTGGGCAATAAATTTAGAATTTTATAATTATAGCTTTGAATTTTATATTTGTAATTATAGATTTGACTTCATTGATTGCATGTTGTAAAAGATCAAAAATCTATTTAAAATCACATTAATTATTCATAATTAAGTAGGATTCACATTATGTGATTATTTTTGTATATATTTCTTAATTCCTACTGTAAGTAACCATAAAGTGTAATAGAAATTGTCATCTCTAAATCAAAATTTACCCACTACTGTTAAACTTATTTTTATCATGTTATAAGCAGTTGGAAATTTCTTATTGGCTTTCCAGTTACTTGTTCTAAATTTAAAGTTAAAACCATGAGTTTAAAGTTCTAGTTAGTAAGAATTTTTTTTTCTTTACTTTTCAGTTTATGTATAATTTCAGCCAGTTATGGTCATAAATAACATAAGTTAATGAATTTTATTTAAAAAAAATAACAAGTTTAAATATGTTCATCTATAGTATATTCTATATACACTGCTCAAAAAAATTAGGGGAGCCATGTGCTCCCCTAATTTTTTTGAGCAGTGTAGTTATATATATACATACACATATATACACTGCTCAAAAAAATTAGGGGAACACATGGCTCCCCTAATTTTTTTGAGCAGTGTAGTTGGTAAATTTTCATTGAAGAATAAATATAAAAACTCAAAATTAAAAGAAATAAATAAAAAATAATGGAGATCTATATTGAAAGAAAATCAAAATAAGAAACAAATAACGATGCAATAATATCTTTCCACTTATGTCATGATAGAATTTAAAGAACGAATTCGATTTCATTGCCCAAAAACTAAAATTAATTACAAAATTATTTATAAATATCCTACTTATTAATGAAACATTTTGATTATATTCTTATTTATTGCTTTATGTGAGTATTGCCTTTTTTTTCTATTAGGAAAACCTCTCTGGCAGCTTATTCTGGAGCAGTTTGATGACTTATTAGTTAAAATTTTACTCTTGGCAGCAATAATCTCATTTGTAAGTAGTTTTATCTATGAATGCATTTCTAAAGGTTTAATACCTATTTTTGTTTTGTTAATCTCTAATAAAAAAAATTTATATTAATGCTTTTTGATTTCTCTTAGTATGTGAAGTTCTATATATCAAAATATACATTTTTGTTTTTCTAAATTTTAGGTTTTAGCATTATTTGAAGAACATGAGGGGCAGATTACAGCATTTGTTGAACCATTTGTTATTTTACTCATTCTCATTGCAAATGCTGTTGTTGGAGTATGGCAAGTGAGTATTTCATAATTCATAATATTGAAATACTTACTAAAATGCAAATCTACTAAGTAAGGTTTAACCTCTTTAGATTAAGGCTAGTTTGAAATTTTTGCTCCCTAGTATTTTGCATTTATGACAGGGTTTCTACAGTACTAGAAAGCCCTTGAATTTTGTCAAAAAAAAATCAGAGCCCCAAAATCCTTGAATTTCGTGATTGGTTTCTTGAAATTTTTTTAGAGTAATTTTCAGAATAATATCTTCCCTTCATAAACCTTGATGCTTAGTAAGTCTAAATTGGAAAATTGGCAAATAATTTTGGTTTTTGTACTTAGTTTTAGTTTCCGCTCGATATGCAGTGTTTCTTTGAATTTTAAACGTAATTGTTGCATAAACTTTCTGACAGTAGATTAATATCGTTATCCTTAATGGTTAATTGTTCTTTTAATATTTTAATTAGAATCAATAATTTTTTTTATCCTATGTGTTCAGATTTTTGCATTTAATTTTCATCGCTAATAGGTAAAATTTAGTTCTTCAGATTCTATGAATTATGTACAGAATTGAAATTTTATCTAATTATTACAGTTTCTATATACTAAATTTTGATTTATCAAATTTGAAAGACGAGGCTTTGGATTTTAATAAACTTGCAATTGCATGATATATTATTTCAAATCTGATTTAAACCACAATGTAACTGTCAAACCAATTGTATTAGTAGTTGTGGGTTACGCATATTAAAAAGTGCTACAACTATTAAAACAATGTAAAATTGTTAAACTTAATAATATATATGCTTTTTCTATGTCAACTAAGAATTGAGCATTAAAAATATGCAATTTCTGCTTCAAAGTAAACAAAATCTAAATGATGTATATTTTAACAAACTAACTTTATTACTAATTAGATCCTTGGAAAATTTGATTTTAGGTCCTTGAAAGTCATTAAAGTCCTTGAATTATTATTATTATTTTTAATAGAAAATTGAGTAGAGACCCTGTATGAAAAATATGAACTGGTGTAGTGTAACAATATTTTGGTGACTGAGGCCATAAAAGATTTTTGTTATTTGTTGTTTGAAAGATTTTCTAATAAAAAGATAAATCACATCACTTAAAAATTCAAAACTTTTCCTCATAACCCTTGGATTTAGACGTGATAATCATAAGACATGATAATTAGTTTGATTTGGAAAAAAAAGGAAGCTTTTTCTGTATCTGAAATATTTGATTGGCAATGTTTAAGAAGAAACGTCATACCATGCTTTCGATAAATGTAAGATTTTGTGCCCCAAGGAGTTTCTTATTACAGTTTTTCTTTTATTGGTTATTTGAATATCTTGATTTTTTTCTTTTAAATGATAGGAATATATTCTAGCGAGGGCTCACTGATTTAAATCAACTGATTTTTTCATAAAGGAAAAATAAATTATCAATATAAAAATTGATATACAAAGCATTATCATATGGTGTTGCTTAAAATTTTTATTGATTTTCGTAGCTTTAAAATTTACTGTAGATATATTGTAGAATAAATTTCAGTACTTTCAGATGAAATTTTTATTATTTTTTTTAAAAAAAGTGATTATTATTTTTTTTTTTTTTTTTNATTTTTTTTTTTTTTTTGTTGCTTAGTGTCTGTGAATTAAAAAACAAAAATGTTCTTTTTGCAAAAATTATTTTTGAAAAAATAACGAAAATTTTAAAAAAAATCCTAGTTTTAAAGCACAATCTTTAAAATTACATTTTATTTGAATGTTCCAAATATATTCCTAAATCTTGTAAATAGTTTTTAAAAAAATCTTGAAGTATATATAGTTTTTTTTTCTGTCATTATTAATGATGGTCCTTTCAATAAATTATAATAATACTTTGCAAATATTATGTATACCAGTAAAACAATTTTTAACTTGGTAATCTAGTTAGAAATTAGTTATGATTTATATACCAATTACAAACTAAATTTATTGTGGTTTAAAAAAAAATGAACCTTGGTTTCAGCTCAGCACTAGTTAATTTTTGTTGCATAGTTTTTTTACCTTTAGTTTCCAAAGCATTGGGTTCTTGTCTCTTGTGCTATTGAACTGTGTGCCTAAAAGTTATAAGTTTTCTACTAACGTTATTGTAGATTACTTATTTGTATGATAATTTCTAGGAGAGAAATGCTGAGAGTGCAATTGAGGCGCTAAAGGAATATGAACCTGAGATGGGAAAAGTGATAAGACAAGATAAACAGGGTGTGCAGCGAATACGTGCAAAAGATATAGTTCCTGGAGATCTAGTTGAAATTTCTGGTTAGTTCAATAATTTACTTAAAATTTAATTTTTTAAATTTCTTTTCAATTGATTATTTAAGTAATGTTTTTATATTTTGTAGTTGGTGACAAAGTGCCTGCAGATATTAGATTGGTAAAAATATATTCTACAACTCTTAGGGTGGATCAATCTATATTGACTGGTAAAAATTTTATTTACTGTACTGTGACTTATTTTATTCTAATTTCAAAATATTGTTAATGGTTCAAGTATAAATTTTTTAATAATATTTTATTCCTAATGTTAAGTTCTGTGAAGTCAATTGATAAAATACTAAAAAAAATCCTGTCTTAAAACTCATCGTTTTGTTTTAGACCTCAATACAATAGCATTTGCTAATAAAATATCAAAATAAAAATTTAATTTTACATAAAACTGCCTGAAGTTCTTTCATGAATCTGATTTTTCTAGACTTCAATTTTTCGTACTTTAAATTGCAAAAAGTTGATAAGTAAAGAAAAAAAGGAATAGCTAAAGTATAAGTTAGTTGTCATTTTTGTTTATTAAAATCTTTAAGGTTCAAATGAAATCTCCTTCTCTTTACTCCAAGTAAGATCTTTCAGCTAAAATATTTTTATTAATAATTTTCAAGTTTGAGAACAAATTAAAAAACATGATTGAAGTATATAATCTTAAATTTTAATATCATATTTTTAACATCAACTGTAGAAACTGATAAGAAAATATTTCTTTAAATCTCTTCTTAACGTGGAAACATGTAGAGAATTTAATTTTGTTACGTATTGCAAGTTGCAATTGATAGTATTAACATATGCAAGTAAATTGCATATATTCTCGAAACAATTATAATATTTTAAACTGGGAAGTTATTTCTTTAGTCTAATCTATGGTTTCAATTTTTTTTTTATTAATCAAAATAGAAATTGGTCAGTTTTGTTTGACATTAACTATTTCTATGAAATGTATTCTGAATCACTCTTAATGCCTTATTTTACTTTTTAATTTGTAAAAATAAAGATTGAAACTCTTTTTAAAAACTTTACTATATTCTAACTGTAAAATGTTATTTTCATTAAAAAGCAAATTTGTCAGCTTACTTAAATTTATTTCTATTTGTATATATCTTGTACAATTTATGTCAAACAAATAGTTTATTCAATGAAGAGTTGCATATTTTGATTTTATCAACCTTTTTTTCGTTAAAAATATAGAATGAGAAACTAATTTCATTATATTTAGCACAAATATTTAATTTTTTTAAATTTAATATTGCTTTATATATCACCTCAATTGATTTACATTGTATTCCAGGTGAGTCTATTTCTGTGATTAAGCATACTGATCCCATTCGAGATTTAAAAGCTGTGAATCAAGATAAGAAGAATATCCTCTTCTCAGTAAGTTATTTTTAATTGCAACATAATCTTTAAAAGTTATTTTACTTGTTAATAATTCTATAGGTTACGAAGTTTTATGCTTTTAAAAATTTTCATAATCGATTTTAACAATGTGGATTTTTAAAATGCATTATTTATCAGCCTAGATGTCATAAAGTTATTATTTTTTATTTAATTTTCATTCTATTTCAGGGCACAAATATTGCTGCTGGTAAAGCTAAAGGCATTGTCATTGGAACAGGTCTAGAAACTGCAATAGGTATGATCTCTTTAATCACCTTTTAATCTGTCTACAAAAGTTATTTATTTATGAATTTTTAATTTTTCTTATGAAAAAATATTCAATTGGTTAACAATGATATCCAAGCATCACATGCTTTAACGTTAGTACTAGAGCCCGGATTTTGATGACCTAAAAAAATCTCAACTAATGCCCTTAAAAAGTGCGAAAAATGCCCTTAAAAATGTGAAAATTGCGCTAAAAATGCCTTATGACATGACTTAAATAAAGTAAAAATATCGAACTAAAATAATAACACTCTTTAAAATTATGAGTCATTTCAAAAACTATGAAGTAATGCACTACTTGTTCTGCGTTCATTAAAGTTTGAAAAATATTTTTTATATCCTGAAATAACAACAAAAAAAATGAAAATATAGTAACACCAAAACATTTTCATTTTGTATAGAAACTTTAATGAATATAACAACTTACGTCTAATAATATTACTAAATATCAGAATTACATTGGATTATTAAATGTTTTTTGATATTTTTAAATGTAAACGAGCGTCTCTTGTCTGAAAGTAAATTTTTATACCTGGAGAAGCTTCTTTCAACGTCTACTGATGTTAATGGTGCGTTCTTAAAAAAGACGGTCTCACTTACTGACAATTCGTCAATTTGAAAAGTTGTTGCTTCACCTGTTACTATCCTACAGATTTTCTTCGTTGTTTGGAAGCCAGTATTCTTCTCCGAAACTTTGTTCAATTTACCTGCTACACTTTGTCATATTTTTCCCCTTGCAACCCTCGACTCACTACGTCAATATAATTTATTGCATCACAAAGTTCCAATTCTTGCTTCTCCAAGCTTGTAATTGTGGAGGACACAATACCAAAGTTAGATTTGATAAATGCTAAGTTTCCTTCGATTTTATCAGAAGCGAACACGTTTAGCGCTATCTTAATTGATGCAGCATCTTCTGAATCAAAACTACTAAAGATAGACTTCACTATCTTAAAATTTTCACTGTAGTATAAGCATGTATCCAACCAGGTACCCCATCGTGTGATTACTGGTTTAGGAGGCAAAGCTGACTAGGAGCAAATGTTTTGAAACATTCTACAGCAAAAATTTATGCTCTAGAATGTTTCAAAACATTCTAGAGATTCAATTCTTTGAGAGTTATAATATGAAATGTAAAATTACCAGACAAATCTTGCATTTCATGTAATAAAAATACCCCCAAAAATAATAAAAATTGGTAAAAATTAAAAAAGCCAGCGGCTCCTCAGTCTGCTAACCACTCGGCCACCAGGTCGGCTAAACTAAAATATGATTTTTAGAAACTTGTGCAAACCAAAATAATAGATTATTTTGTTGTAACTTTTTTTAGTAATTTATTTCTTACATTTATAATAGAAAATCCTGTATCTTAGCATTTGAATAGTTAAAAATTCTTTTCAGAATAATATTTTCCGAAAAAGAGGAAAAAATCACTTTGTTTCTGAGAAATTATGTGTTAATATTTCAGAAAATATTTTAATTCATTTAAATGTCTTTTGCGGCTGTTATTTAACTTTATTTTCATACTTAATTGTTTATGCTTATTTATGCTACTTCAAAGTTTTGACTTTGATTCTACATTGCAGGAAAGATCCGTACCGAAATGTCTGAAACAGAAGAAGTGAGAACTCCTTTGCAACAAAAATTGGATGAGTTTGGTGAACAGTTGTCTAAAGTAATTTCTGTAATTTGTGTTGCTGTGTGGGCTATTAATATCGGACATTTCAATGATCCTGCTCATGGGGGATCTTGGATTAAGGTAATTTTGTTAAGAATGTTAATTCAATATTTATACTACATTAAGAAATTATCTTTTAAAAAAAAAAACTTATTTTTAGCCAACTGTGCAGTGTGTAGGTTGTTGAGCTTATATTTGTCTTGATTTATCAAAATTTCTTTGCAAAGAGTACAAATGTGCTGTTATAATACTTATATCTATTTTAATTTGTTGTTCTAATCATAAAACTTATTTAATTTCTATCATTTTGTATGGAAATAGATGGTGCTTTGATTTGATTTTTTTATAGAGATGACTTAATTTGTAATTCGAGAAAGCAAGAAAAAAATTAACCACAACTATGGAGGGGACAATTTTTCTTCTCTTGCAATTTATGTGCAGTAAAGGGATGTAACTATGGGAAAATAATCTTATTTTTTTCTTGTCCTTATTGTTTGCATTTATAGTATTAATGCTGTACTGTATTGCTTTGTAATTTGAAAAAATAGGATTTTTATCAAACCCGCTAGGTTATGGATGATCTTTGTTTTTATCAGTTGCAGTTTTTGTGGAAGATTTTTAAATAAGGTTTTTTCTAACTTAGTATTAAGTAATAATTATAATGATATGGATAAAAATTCAATGATAAAGAAAAATATTGAACAATGGAATTTTCCCAGACATTATTTCAGGAATACGAAAAAAGACATCATTAAATCATGTGAATACATTTATCCATTTTCAAAATCATAATTGTTAAGTTTTAAATCCAAAATTAAAACTAATAGTAAATAGACTTTCCTTTAAAAGGTTCCCCAGTCCTATTGAGTTAAGTATCACCAATTGGCAGCATGAAGCTCATTTTTTTAAAGTATTTATTTTGAATTATATTTTATTAAAACAGAGGTGAAAAAAGGTTTGAAACAATGAGACATTTAGCTCCTTATATTCCTTTTCCCAAATGCAGTTGATAGAGTTGTTTGCATTTAGTGTGCTCATTTAAATTCATAAAACTATGATAAGTACTTTAAAGAAATGCAAAAATTTTATCAAATTAATAATTTACTACTTTAAATTATTGATATATAAAAATTAATAAATTTTTATTTTAACTGTAAATTTTTATTTATGTAATTCAGCACTCATTTCTTCATTTGTTTTAGGGTGCTGTGTATTATTTTAAAATTGCTGTTGCCCTAGCTGTAGCAGCCATTCCAGAAGGGCTCCCTGCTGTTATTACTACTTGTTTAGCCTTAGGTAAACTATTCAATTCATTCTATAGCCCCTTTTTGTATGTGTGAACATTGGTATAAAATAATTGTTTTAACTTGTTCTCTTCAATATCATACAATTCATATGAATTTTTTTATTTGAAGAAAAAAAAATTGTCTTTAATAAGCTATTGACATAAATAACATAAAACTTTATTATAATCTCGAGAAAAAAAATTTAATTTATAATTTGTGTTCTTAAAATTTATTCTACTACTAAGTTTAATTGTATTACAAATTCCTTTTTATATGTCAAAAGAGTTTGTTGTTTTATCTTGCAACTAGAGCAGTCTATAATAGGAGTGCACAATCTTTCTTGGCATATCAGACCTAATAATAAGCTGCAGGTAAAACAACTAGCTTTTGAGTGACTTTGGGAATTCAGTTTTTAATATCACTTGATAAGAATTAACTACTTAATAGTTTGTAGTGAGGTTTATTACTGAAAATTTTAAAAGACAATTGTTTAAAAATTAAGGGACGAAGTTGAACAAGTGTACAAATTATATATCTATAATATTTTTGAATTAAAGAACTTCTGCAGTTTTGGGCGGGCACACACACATATATATAAACACCAGGTTTTAAATTTTAGTTACCAAAAATTTATTTTATGCTTTTTAGTGTACATTAATTCTTAATTAGTGAATAATTTTTCCAAATTTATTGAAATTAGTTTGAAAGAATCTTTAGCATTCGTGTAAATTTTTTTAAAAATTGAATTTTGGTTACAAGGTGGGGCCACACATTGACCTTTTGAGGACTGCTGGTTGTGCACCTCTATCCTACAAGGAATGTTTAGAACCTAAAAACAAATGCAATCAGTCATATTGGCTATTTTCGCAAGGAGTGAATTTTATGAACTAATCACCTAATGGCGGGTGTTTCTTTGAAGGGTATTCTTCTTGAAGATGGACCTGTAGGATATGTCATAAAGAGATATCTACAAATATTTTGTTCAGAAGCAGTTTATGTACTGGTACTAAGTGCCATAGAGATTTGCGAACTATTGCCAGGAGTCTGTTTAGAAGGAATTTGAGTCCGTTAACGGACCCTTCACAAAATATATTTTTATAAAATTCACAAAATATTTTAACTTAAAAAGGGACCATTCACAAAACAATTTATCTTTTAATCGGACCCTTCACAGATTTGTTTCTTCATTATTGTTTTGTTAATCGAATGATCCCTTCTCAGGAAGGGGGGGACAGAAGTTTTGTCTTCGGCAGACGCTTCTTCCTTTATTTTATTTTATTTTATAACCGTCGTTGAACAGCCGACCCAATTTCATGCGTTTACGACTACTTACGTTCAACTCCGTAGCCTTGTAATTTTGAACCAATCCAGAAGACAAGGAAACTCCTGGATCAGTACCCCCAGAGGTATTGATTTGTTGTGGGAACATGGAGGACTTTGAGACTCGACAGATTTATGCATCAGTCACCATTTACTACACGGGGAGTCTTCGGCCGGCGAGGATCGAACCCACGACCTCTTGGATATGGGCCCAGCGCCCTACCGACCAGGCTATCCCGGCCTTTCTTCCTTTATTTGTCCGAAATGAATACTCTGCGTTCAGCAGAATAGACTAAATACCAAATATTTGTATGCTTCATCTCTAATTTAGTAGCAGCATTCGCTGTTTATTTTTTAAAATGTAATTTTTTTTTTATTATAATTTTACAGTGTTGAGCATAATCTTGTATGTCTTTACAATTTAAAAATCCTTGAAAGTGTTTTTTGCAATAACAGGACCCTATTTGCACAAATTCACAAAAGCAGGACCCTATTTGAAAGATTGTGGCTTAACGTTTATTTTATATTCACAAATCACGAGTAATTTTTTCGCAATTTTACAAAAACTGACCTTTCACAAAATGTGTGGACAGACCCCGGATTGTTAAATTGCTCAAAAATTTTTCTTCACAGACATGGCAGCCCCAGGTAGGCCCTGCCTTCTGACCAAAATGAGTTTTGTAATTTCTGATAACTAGAGTAGTAATTAAGATTTTAAATTTTAGTTCATATTTGTAAAAAAAATTCTATTATACTAGGTACTCGAAGGATGGCTAAAAAGAATGCAATTGTAAGATCTTTACCATCTGTAGAGACATTGGGTTGTACTTCTGTCATATGTTCTGATAAAACCGGTACATTAACAACTAACCAGATGTCAGTTAATAAAGTAAGTCTCTACTATGGCAAGTAATTTTTTATTTTGATTATATTTCTATTAATCTAGCGTAATGTAAATATATTTTGATACTATTTGAAATACTCTTAATCAATCCATAAATCACTTATCACAAATGAAATGAAAGTGGATTTTTCATTGTTTACATTATTCATAAATTCATATTTTAGGCTTTGAAAATTAACTTGATTTATCAATAAATTGATAATTAGGAAAAATCTGTTGATCTGATCAATAAGTGTAAAAGTAATTTTTACCAAATAAAATTATGTTAAATATTTTCTTTGGAATTGTTTTTCTATGTTAATACCAAATTACACTCATAAATTTTACATTTTCAAAGTTAGAAAATATTTTAATTATTGTACCTTTTGAAAATTATGAAGATTGAATTTTGCTGTGCCTACTTTAAACCAAAATCTAATCATCAAGTAAAAGAAGGAAAATTTCTAAGAAGGGAAACATGTTTAAAAGTATATAGTGTGTAAAACTTTAGAAATATAAAATAAATATCTTTAACTATCAACCTTATAAAATTAAAAGGGACTATTAAGGTGTTAAGGAAGAAAGAAAAAAATTAGACATTGATTATTTAGCGACCATAGCAAGAAATTTGGTTTTGCTGGATAAAATCAATTTTATTTAATTTTTCTCAGTTACCTAGCAATGGAGAAGTTTGTTTTATAAAAATTTCCTGTTCTGTGGGTCATTTGAAAAAATTTTCTTCATGGCCCCAGATTTCCTTAGTGAGTTTTTATTTCATATTAAAAACAAGGAGCATTTTTTCCAATTGTGGATCTAAGTAATTGAGTTTGTACATCTACAAACTATGCTAACATTGTTTCAGTTTCTTGAATGGAAGACTGGTAAAAATTTCTAGATTTTTTAATATGTTTGCAAGCCATCCTTAAGAATCTGTTATTAGAGCAAATTTTATTTTTTCTCTTTTTATTTTGAAAATTCAAACACTGTATCATTCTTAAAAATTATTTTGATGTATGTGCCAAAAACTTTAAGGTGTGAAGCTTATTTGTTTCTATTTTAGATGCTAATTGTTGACAAAATTGACAGTGATGCTCGGTTTCATGAATTTGAAATTACTGGCTCAACATATGAACCTATTGGAGATGTGTAAGTATTTCTTTTTGTTTCGTATCAAATTTAAAATTATAATGTTCAAAATAAGTTTTATTATCGTGTTTTAAATTTTATTTTGTTATATTTTTGAGTTTAGAGTTATATTTAGTTTCTTAATTGCGGATTTATAAACATAATTATAATTGGTGTATCTAAAAATGATTCTATGACAAATATTATGTTAATATTATTTAATTAAATGGTACTTGAAAAAAAAATTTGAATTTTGTTTTCAATTTTAAACTAAGCAATTTTGAATTATATAATTTGAACAATATTACTCAAAACACTTCAGATCAATATTAGGAGGTTATGATTTAATTGCTTATTTTTTCTGAACTATTTTGGAATTTTAAAAATGGACTGCAAGCTCATTTGATTTGATTTAATAAAGTTTTATAATATTTATATTTTCAGATTTTTACGGGAGCAAAAAGTGCGTCCTTCAGACTTTGAAGCATTGATTGAACTGGCAACGATTTGTGTGATGTGTAATGATTCTAGCATAGATTATAATGAGGTAATTACACTAAAACTCTTTGCAATTTATGTATGCATGTTTTATTCTAATAAGGAGAAAGTTTTCTATCTTTTTCAAAGTTTTTATTGCACCTTCATAATTAGGTATTGTTGTATTTTCATCTAACTTTTTTTTCCTCTTTATTGCAGTATAAACAACAATTTGAAAAGGTGGGAGAGGCTACTGAAACTGCCTTGGTTGTGTTAGCAGAAAAAATGAATCCTTTCAATTATCAAAAAACTGGTTTAAGCAGGCGTGATGCAGCTGTTTGCGTGAATCAAGGTATCAATACGATGTGGAAAAAAGAATTCACTTTGGAATTTTCAAGAGATCGCAAATCAATGAGCACATACTGCACTCCTTTGAAATCAACACGCCTAGGAGCTGGACCTAAAATGTTTGCAAAAGTAAGGAGCACTTTTATTATCAACTTTTGTCATTGTTTGTATGATAATACGTACAAGGAGTTTGCACGTTTAGTTTTCTAATTTGTTCTCCAAAATGAGATAAAAGCACTACCTTTTCTTTTCGTCAGAACCTCTACTTTAAAAAGTTCATTGTTAGCTGTGAATATACTCATTAAAGGAAAACTACTAGTTTATTTTAAAAATAGTTAATATTGAGAATGAAATAAATATTTCCCTCATTTTATCTATATCATAATTCTTAAAATTATTTTTTCAGTTCAGACAGTTAAGTTCACAGAAGAGAAGGGGCATTTGAATTTGTTTTTTGTGTATGCATTAGCTAAAAATGAATAAAATAAGCTAATTTACAATTTTAAAATAACCTTGCTATAAGCATTAAGAATGATTATCAGAAAAATACCATTCTTGAATTTGATTATTTTATTCTATTGTCCCGATTGGTAAAAAATTATAAATATTCGTAAAATGTTGGCAAAATTTTCAATTTATGCCTAAGTTTGCAAAAATTTTAGCTGCTGTACTGAAATCAGTTAATTTTAATAACTTGTAATCAGCACTATAATAAACAATTCTAAGGTATCATTTAATATTGTTTTTTAATAGTAAAATTTTAAGTAATAGCACTTTTACTGTTTTTCATTTTAATAATTTAAGAATTTATTTTTTTCTAATTTTGTTGACTATATTTTGACTTGCAATTTTACTTAATGCACACATATCTGCATAATTTTAAAAATATTTTTGCACTATAACTATAAGTCTGTACTATATGTACAGAGTAGTCCAAAAGTATGAGAAATGCGTATCAGATCCAAAAATAATTGACACATTTTATTTGATTACACCAAAACTTTATCTAATGGAGGAAGACTCTGGGCCATAAGGGGCTGTTATGCCGATATAAGAAAAGTTGATCTCCCATGGTTTGGATTTACTGAATTTAGTTAAGTAGTTTTGCAATCTTAATACCCAAAATGTAATTTACCTGAAATGTAATAATGGGATACAGAGGTCTGTCCAGGCCGAATTTACTACCGTTTAACGGTACCTGCACAAATTCAATTTTAGGTAAAACTGTAGTTTCATAAATTCAACTTTAGGAAAAACGGTAGATTCACAAAATACTTTTTCTTAAAATTTTATTTTTGTATCCCTTAAGAAACGATAAATCTATATTTTTACCATGTTTTTGTATTGATTTTTTAATATAATTTTTAATTTTTCACAAGTTATGTCAAAATTTTCACAAAATAGGTACCTTTCAGAAAAACCTAGACAGACCCCTGGATAGAGATATATATCAAAAATTCATAGTTTAAAACTAAACCAATGTTAGTTTTACCTCCATCGGATTGTGTTAACTTTTGTGTAATTAGTTATTGTGGAAATATTTGACCCATATTTTTAGCTTTTTTGATTAAATTATATTTATCAATATATTTAAATGTTTCCATGTCATATTTTTTGGACATCTCTGTATTTACTTAAATAAAATTTTCTTTTATGCATGATACTAGATTTGAAAAATAACCCATGATGAATGGTTCTAAATCTTACTATGATTGTAGATATATATATCTTTTCCTTATGTCGTGCTAAAACTTAGTTTTGGAATATTTTTAGGGAGCACCTGAATGTATATTAGATCGTTGTTCTCATGTTCGAGTAGGTAGTACAAAAGTTCCACTGACGCCTCAGATTAAAAACAAAATATTGGATATCACTAAACAATATGGTACTGGCAAAGATACTCTGCGTTGCCTATCTCTTGCAACAATAGACACTCCAATAAAACCCTCTGATATGGATTTATCAGATTCTACCAAATTTATTTCTTATGAGGTAAGTTATTATGAACCTTGTATATTATTTGTTCTATAATGCGAAATTACTGTTCGAATAATTGAATTTGAATTAGTTAGATCGAATCAGAATCAAATTTTTTCTAGTTCAATTTGCTGTGGATTTCACTATTTTTTTAAAACAGGATTAAAAAAATTTTTTTCCTGTGATGCTATGAGTACTCACAAAGACCAAAAAAAGTATGAATATGTAATATTTTTCGTTATGTATATATTTTTTTATGTGTTAATAAGAAAAGAATTTATTAGATAAAATTCTTTTTCCTCTTTAAATTTTATAAAAGTTGCTTTTGTGCATAAAAAAAGGCTTTTATTTATGTACAAAAAGAAAAAAAATGAAGTATTGACAATAAAAAAAAAGCTGCAAGTTAAGAAAATTTTTTTTAAATTATTTCTTCCAGCAATCACCTGTCTGCTCTTATCAGCCATCTGCAAATTCATTTTATTTCCTGATCTTGATTTTCAAAAAAAAAAAAAAAAAAAAGATGAGCATAGGCACATTCATCTCCTTTCTTATATTCTATCATCATTATTTATCTTGAATATATGTCATAATGCCTGCCAATTGAATGAAATGCACACATTATAACTCAATCTCGTGAAATCTAAAAATAGATTCCTTGTATTGCCAACGTTTCAAAAAAGGAACATTTGACTTTCTAACCAATATTTTGCCTTCAAAATTTTAAAATAAAATTTTGAATTTTATGCCTGACACAGAATTATATCATTCCTTAAAAGCATGTAACTAATCTTGTCGTATTATGAAAATAGAGTTTTTGATAAATTATATTACAAAAGACAGAAACATTTACAAATTATATCATATTTCTAAATTCCTGAAAATAATCGAATATATATTGAAATGGAACCAAGCTAAATTTAAAAAATACTTCATGATATAAATTTTAAATGTATGACAAGCATTTTCAGACTTTAATTGCTTATCAGATTTAAACTCAAATTATATGTTTCATCCTTAGGAGAGAAACGATAAAGAAAAACAAAGCAGAGTGCTGTGGTACAAAGAAATTGTAAACATAAATTTTTTTTTTACATTAGAGTAGATGACGCATCAACATAACTAGATTAATGTGCGGAACCTTAACACATTGATTTTTCTAAAGTAAAAGATAAAATACTGTTACATATATAATTTTTCTTGAATACTTTTCCTTTGGAAAAAAAAAAACTATTCTTTTGTCTCTTCCATTGAAACCATTCGACACTTTTCTTCATTTAAATTAAGTTTCAAACTAACATAGTGTTGAAATACAGCATTTATAATTTAATAAAGAAATGCATTTTTGTTTCCAATATTATAATGGGATGATCAATATCTTTTTATAGACTGGAATGACGTTTGTTGGAGTTGTTGGCATGTTAGATCCACCTAGGAAAGAGGTGAAAGATGCCATTTTGCGTTGCAAAGCTGCTGGTATTCGAGTTATCGTAATTACTGGTGACAACAAGGTATGTTTTTTTTGTTTGTTTTTTCAGGTCTCATTTCCAAATCAAAAAAAAAAAAAAAAAAAAAAAAAAAAAAAAAAAAAAANAATTGTCTTTTTATTTTAAAACCATTTTGTAAAAAATTTCTATGTTCAAACTCACAATAGCAAAATTTTATATTGTTATTTTCGTTCAATACTTGAATGTGAGTGTTTTGAGCTACTACCAACGCCCTTTTAGTATGTTTTTTGCAACTGGAGTATAGAGAAAGAGTGAGAGGTCTCAGTGTGTGCTGCTATCGAGCTGTATTATAAACAAAACGGAGATCTGAGATCTTTAGAGCCTACCATGTTTATAGAGAAAAATAATATTTAGGGAGTTTGAATCCGTGTGTTTAGTGAAATTTGAGCTATTGACGTGTGGGAAAAAAACAGTGAATGTAAAGATTACATAATTTAGTTTAATAATTTTGTTCATTTACTAGTAGATTTCAATTATAGTAGTTCATTTATAAGTAGGATTTTTATTTTAGGGTTAAGAACCTATACAGTTAGTACATTAATTATGCCTTGTAAAAAGTTTTCTAATACTTATTTACAACTGATTTTTCTCAAACTTTCAAAAGTTCTTAAACTACTACATTTCTTAAGTGACAACTATTCAATTTGATAGTAAGAACGGAATTCTTTTGTAATTTACGTTGAAGTAGATGATGCAAATATTAAATTAAATTGCTTTTTTTAATTGTTAATCATACTTCAATGTGAGACTAAGGACAAATTTTTTTTAAAATTATTTTATAATTGATATTGAAGTAATAAATACAATAATTGAATTAATGTTACAGGCTACTGCAGAAGCTATTTGTAGAAGAATTGGTGTGTTTGATGAGGATGAAGATACATCTGGTATGTTTTAGTATATTTTTTTTCTTCATTAATTCAACCCAGGAATTATGTTGTGAGTTGTTTTGTTCTCCTTTAGTAGCATCTACTGGAAAGCGAAACAAATGAGATAAGTATTCCTGGGTTAAGCTGTACTTAACTTTAAATATGTGATAAAATTATATTATGTTATGTTTCAGTTAATAACATAATCTATTTTTAATTTTATGCTATCAGAGGAAAGTTTAAAAAAGACAGGTAAAATAATTTTTATTTTATTTTTCAAATTTCATTTCTTTGTTGTAACACTTATATTATAAAAATGTGCTTTTATAAGCTCTGAAATATGTTTTTATTGTTCAATCCCTCAAGTTTATTCTTATCTTTTTATTTTTTTTTGACACTTCAGCATGTTAATTCTTGAAATTTCAAATATAGATTGAATAAGTACAGGGATTGGAAGTCTGAACCATATTTGGCATTCTGCAGCATCCTGCTGCAGTGTGCTATTTATGCCCAATTTTTTATCCATTTTGCTTCTCTCCTTCTTAGCGCTAATTTTAATTTTTCACTAAAATATGATCAGCGTATTAGAGTTACCGCCTAACTTCGGCAGTGGAAGGAAAATATGCAAGAAGCGAAAAGAGATACCATAGTGTTGGCCTTGAGTGTATGCCACGGTATTTAAGCTTCATAGGCAGAGAAGAGTGCAAAGATGATAGTTTCTTATTTATGAATCAATATGGTCTGGATTGAATTTATTTCAGTGCTGCCATTGTCAACAAAACTACTTTTTAAAGAAGCTACTAAGGAAACTAATTTCACTAAAGTATTAACAAAAACTAATTTTCAATAAATTGCAAAAAAATCAAACTTTTTTTTCACAAAGTAACTACTAAAAATTTAAATTACAATTTTATTTCCGAATTTCCTTTTTGCCGTGTCCATTATGAATTTTTATTCTCGTGTACGAGTTTTTTTCCCCCCACTCCATTTGACAAATGCAAATATGATGGAATATTTCATGCTACAGAAGTGAGCTATAACCGTTTCCTTGTAGGAAAGAACAATCTTCAGACCTGTTGAAGTTTGTTTTTGACTGTTGCATATTAATATAAAATGTGTAAAATTTAGTCTTATAAGAAAGCATAGTTGAATATGTCTATGACCTTTTTATTCTGTAAGATTCCTTTTTTGATCTTATAATCTAATAAAATTCTTTTCAAGTAAGGTCTTTGAATTGTATAGAAATAGATTAATCTACTTTATTTGTTATTAATACATTAGAACAGATGTGTGCATGTGAGTGTTTTTACTTTAATCTTATGTACTTCAGTATTTTTCATCCTTTTTTTTATTGTTGACTGTCTTTTAAAATTTATTTTATGTTATTAAATTGCTTATTAATAGTTGAAATTGCTTTGCAACTCAGCTATAATAACTGCGAATTTTTTTTTAATTTCAATGTAACATTTTCTAAATTTCTTCCATGTTTTTAGGATTATCCTTTTCTGGAAGGGAATTTGATGAACTAGCTCCATCTGAGCAGAAATTGGCTTGCAGGAGAGCAAAGCTTTTCTCCAGAGTTGAACCAGCACATAAGAGCAAAATCATTGAATTTCTTCAAGGAGATGGTGAAATTTCAGCTATGGTAGGTTTTGTTAGTGTATTATAGTAACCTAAGACCTATTTTACACCTAACATATTTAATTTTTCATCTTTCATCATTAGATATGTGCTGTAGTTTTTATTTTTATTTATTATCATTAGATAGTGACTACTTTTTCTGTAGTTAGTAGTATTACGTGCTACTTTCAAAAAAGCAATAGCCTAGTGAATAATGCTCTGCAAAAAACTATTAGTTTGTAACAATACTATTTTTTTTTCATCATTAATTTAGTGATGTGATAGGATACAAACACAACTAATTATTCTAATCTGATTTGTGCAAATCTTATACGGTGTCACAAAGTTAAATACAAATACAGTGAATTCACGATAACTCGAATCTGATAGGACTGACCATAAACTTCGACATATCGGAAGTTCGACTTACCATTAGTTTTGGATTTTCAAAATATTGTCGGATTATTTAATTAATGCTTATCAATTACAAACCTTCTACAGGGTTCCCACGGTCCTTAAAAGTCCTTAAAAACTGCTTAGTTTTTATTTTGAAAATTACTTAATTTACTTAAAAGTACTTAATTTTGATTCACGGTCCTTAAAAGTCCTTAATTTCTAGTATCACTAGTTGGTTGGAACAATTTTTTTATCTTAGGAAAATATCCACAATTAAAAAGTACGTCTTTTGCCTAGAATGAGACCCTGCATTGAGTGTAGAATATTTTGATTTGAATGTGTGTGAGGGTAGGGGTTACAAGCAAGTTGAAAAAAACACGTCCTTATTGTTTTTTTTTTTCTTTTATTAATTTTTTCATTAAAATATTTCTTTCTGGATCACTCTGAAAGAAAAAAATTTAGTGTGGGGAGAGGGGAGCGTGATACTGTAGGTGGGTAGAGGTCTTGACTTATTTTTAGACAGTACTTAGAGGTACTTTTTTGATTCTTCTGAAAGCACACATGGTAGCTTTGATACTTCATTCAAATGTGAAATTGTTAGAAATGCCAGGAAAGTGTGTTTTTAATAATTTATGGACACTTGATGAAAAATATAAGGAATGGATCAGCATCTAGCGATCGTCGCAAGGCAAAGTGGGTTTTTTTTCATTGTATCAGATTTTCTTCTGAAATTGCATTTATAAGTGACTCCATTTTTTTAATATTAGGGATATTACGAATATTCGGCGAAGTATAATTTTAATCAGGAAAGTCATTTTCGTCGTTTTCTCATCGACACTTTTTTTTAAAAAAAGAGTGAAATGTTTGCTTTCTGTTTTCACTTTTGTTGGGGTTTTTTTATTTCATAGCGCAGCAATTTAACAGCGTTTCTGATATATTTTATCTCCACTTTTTCTTTTAAAGTTATACAGATAAATAGGTAACCGGTAAAATAGGAAATTGAATTTCTACGTTGCAAGTTTTGTCTTAAGAATTTAGGAAAATTTTCTGTTTCTCTTTTGCTTTTTTGATTAATTGTGTTTTTTTTTATTTATTTTGATAGCATATTTTAAAGAGCTTCTTTTTCGTCATTTTTCTAAAAATCCGGCGATGGGAAACACTTAAAGTGTATTTTTCAACGTTAAATTTTTCTTATAAAAATCGAGAAAGATTTTTTTGTTTTTATATCGTTTGGCTTTCCCATTTTTTTATTTTTTTAAAAAAAGCTCTTGTTTTTGTTATGATGCGGCAATTTTAAAGAGCGCTACTCTTAGACATTTTTAAATCGATGTATCGCGATTTATCGACTTACTGCACATATCGGCAGGCCGATATAATTACTTTTATTTTAGGCAATGCATCAGGAATCTGATCTAAGACGCTCGCGGTTTTTCTTGCCTAATCGATGTATCGCGAATTATCGACGTAATGCACATATCGGCAGGCCGATATAATTACTTTTTTTATTTTAGGCGATGCATCAGGAATCTGATTTAAGACGCTCGCGGTTTAACGTGCTAGGATTCTTGCCTATGCTAACGCTATCACCACTCTGACGAAGACTATTTTGATTTCGTCTAGCTGCAAAGATGTTGATTACATTTTTAGCTATGAAGATGGTGTTCGTTTCGTGATATTGAATAACGAAGAGTGAGGATCAGCGTTGAAATATAGTACGCGATGCATAGTTTCCTTATGCGCCATTTTGGACCTTGGGATTTTACGTTTCTTGAAGATTATTTTCAGCGGGACTTATCATGCGTTCGCTGTGCGTTTTATTTCGACTTGATATAACATTTCAAATAAATTTTTTTCAGTGAGACTTTTGCTACTTAGCGATCATTGCGCATTATTTCGTCACTTTTTTTTCTGTTTGGATTTAACGTTGTCAATTATTTTCAGCAGACCCACTGTTACTTGGCGATCGTTGCTCAATCGCTGTTATCTTAAATTTTCGTTCTGAACTTAATATATTACTGAAACGAAATCATGAATTAAAAAAAAAAATTCTTTATTGATTTTTTTAAAAGTGATACAATTTAATATTTTATATATTTTGTATTTAAGTAATTTATATTTTATCATAGAAAGTAAATTTTTTTTAAAATTTATTTAATTCACGTTGCACCTCAGAGCCCAAGGAAGAAAACTGAGATTGGCACAGTAGGCCTTGGCCCTCTATGGGCTGTCGCGCCATTGAGTTTAGTTTTTTAAATATAATAATTTGATTAGTTTTTAAACCAATAAATTTTCAGTCCCTTTTAGTTTAAAAAAATTAGAACAAAGCCTACATTTAATTAATTTGCTTTTATTTTTGAGGAAATTGAAACAGAATTTGCGTTCTTTCTTTCTTTTTTTTTTTTAATTTGGTTTTTAGTTAAAATGACTAAATTTTTCTAAATTAAGTAAAAAGTTAAGCAATGTTTTAACGCTTTTCAATAATTTAACAATAGTGCTCTTAAATATAGAATATATATATTTTTAAAAATCCCTTCAATACATGTTCGTTTAATAATTTGTCAGATAGTGAGTATTATTTTTAAACATTTAAATCTTTAGTCTATTTCATTTTCAGAAAGGAAAATAATAATAAATAAATAAAAAAACTTACATTAAAACCATTTGACCATTAGTCAATACAACTTTATTATTTTAAATAAGTAATTAACAAAAGCCTAACAATGTTTCAAAAGCACATTTTTTTTTCAACAAATAATTTAAAAAATGTTTTATTTAAGTGGACATTTTCTTTTTTTTTTAATTTGTAATGTATGTAAAATATTTTGTAACAGTTTTATTATTATTTTTAAAAAATCTAAGTCGTTTTTAATTTTAAAAAAAATTTAAATAAAGCTTGTGTTTGTTTTTACTTTAAGGCAAGTCAATCCTTAAGACAGTCTTAAGTCAATCCATCTTTATTTTAATTGAAAAAATTAAGCAATGCTATTGATGTTATAGAATAAATTTTTTTTTTAGAATTAGCATTTTCTTTTGTTATAAATTTATTTTTGATTGATTTAAAGATCTCTCATTGATAAATTTCAAACATATGTTAAATTGCGATACATCGCGATGTCTGACTGACGATCAATCACGATATAAAATTTCTTACAATGCCCAGGCCTATTTTTACATAAACAATAAAAATTCTTAAGGATTTTTTTTTAAAAATGTTGTTTGATCACTGGGTAGGTGGCCGTTTTATTTGGCCAGATATTTGACTATTCGACTAAATCACTATTCATTATTCCCTATTTTATAATAAGTAATATATATATATATAATTCATATTTGCATCCAATTTTCATTACCTTTGATTTATTTGAAAAACTATTGTTTCATAATTTCAGACAATACTTTATTCCGAACAAATTTTTTTTATCATCGATTATTTTAGTTCCTTTAATATCTATACAAGACACAATGCTTTTTAATTGAATAAATTCAAATTCCTCAGAGGTACAGTATTGCTTATCAGTGTAAGCATAAAATTTTTTATAACTAAACGCGGACTATTTTATAAAGATTTTTTATCTTTTTTTATAAATGATGTTTCTGATTCCACTATGTTTTGTTGTTATTTCCCCTTCATTCACAATAAATTTTGTACTTAATTAATTATTTCATTTCATTTTCAATTTTTAGATATGGAATTTTTTCATTTTTATTTCAATTGATCATTACATTCTGCCTTGACCTGTGTTTCAATATTTATGTTAGCACTTATTTTAACTATCATTTCTGTTTCTCAGTTCTGTTTAACTATCATTTCTGTTTATTTTAACTATCATTTCTTAATTTTAATTAATAAGTTTTCCTTGTAGTTTATTTATTTCTTTTTTCCTGATTGTTAGGTACTAAATATATTCTGATTTTGATCATTAAATTTTTTATATTTTGTGATTTTAATAAATCTTGAGCTTATTATAATTAGGTTTTACTTAGTTTAAAATAATTGTCTTAACCTCAATAAACTTATATTTGTTAGTTTCTTTTTGTCTTGGCTTAGTATTAGTCACTCAAAATAATATTTTTATTAATTTAATGAATTAACCGTCATAATTTATATATTTCTATCTGTTTACACAATTTCTTGCTATTTTTAAAATAGAAAATTTTAATGTTTAATCTGAACTCTTTGAGTTTTTCTTTATATTCTTAAAAGCTTATGTGAGGTGATTAAATGCAATTTAATTTTAATTAAATACAGATTATTTGTATTAAACATTTCTTTATTTAGTTTTTTTTTTTAAAGGGTGACTGAGTTGAAGAAAAGCTATTCCATTTTTTTTATCTATTATTATTAATCTATGATGTTTTATTTGATGATAAATAATCGTTTTTAAGGTCCTTAATTTCTGCAAAAAAAGTCCTTAATTTTTTTGATAAAAGTCCTTAAAAGTGCTTAATTTTTGATTTGATAAAAGAGTGGGAACCCTGTTCTAAATGCTTACAATATTTAAGATCATTTTTCTGACACGACATTTACGATAAGACTGTTTAAGCACTTTATGATACCCTGGTCCATCGGTTGCAACTTTGCTGTTGTGTTTGGTAGGAGAAACTGCAAGTTTACTGCTTTCAAATTAGGTAGATCACTATGCGCTGTGCATTTATACATAAAGAGTATTACTTTTCTTTTTTCAGCGAAGAATTTCCGATCCAATTTTCTTACATAGTCGTCAAATAAAACTGATGTCATTCAAAACTTTTTGTTAGACTAGTAGACCGTTTTTACATTCTTGAAACATCGGGGATTTCGGTATTTTCCGATAACAAGTAAGGGCAATTTCTTTGTCCGAGACGCATTTCCTTCAACTAGGACAGTCAAATGTTTCTTGCTCATTTTACCCCCTGAGCAGTTTTCATCCTTAAACTTCATAATCTTATTTGGAAGACATTTAAAAAATAAACCCATTTCATCAATATTGAAAACATCATTTTCACTGTATCCTTGAAGTAAATTTGGTAACGTTCATTTAACTACTGTTCACATACTTCAAGATGGACAGCTTTAGCTTCTCCATGAAGAGTGCGAAAGACATTGTGTGTGTGTTGAAAAGGAAGGGGTAAGATATCAGTTCCTAGGTTTTTTTTTCTTGCTTTAAAAGATCCAAAAAAAAAAAAAAATCGAGTTAAAGGGAGTAAAATTCGAGTAATCGAGAATAATTAACATGAAATTGAAGATAAAAGGGTCGGGCCCTCATAAAAAAAAATCTAGTTATAGTAATATTCGAGTTATCGTACTTCGAGTTATAGCGAATTGACTGTATTATAATTTCCATCATTTTTTTTTAGTATTTAACCAATTAATATACTGCTTTATTTGTATTTGATATAATTTTTAAAGGAATTACGGTACAAAACACAATATTACTTAAATACTTCAGTATGATCCTGATTATTCCACGAGATAGCTAAACTGTTAAGATCAGTAAATTGATCAAAAAACAATTATTAATAGAATTCTGGCAATAAACATTTCTTAGAAAGTGTAACGTTATTTTCATTTTTCTGAGGGAATTTCTAGATTGTTCGACTTGTTCAATACACTGTTTACAATATTAACCCCAGTACAGCAATCTTTAATAATAGAGAATGTTAAAATACAACTTTGAATTTTTTCAATTGATTCTTCAAAAAAAGTCACCACTAATGGATGAAGTTTCGGGTCAGTCATTTGTCCTGTCAATTGCAATTGAAAATGCAGCATTTTTGAAGTAATTTCTGCAGTTCATTGGCCATCGCATTTACCATAGCAGAACTTAAGTTCTGCCACAACTATAATTCTTTACAATTTTAGAATGGGGAAACATCTTAAAGTTTTCCAGCTACACTAATCGGTAAATTATGCTCTACAAAAAATGCTGTGAAGAGACATTCAGCATTTGTCTCATTTATACTCATTTGAAAAAGGAAACTATCTTTGTTGAAACAAAAAATTCTTAGTTTTATCGCTTTTCTGATCTGGTGTTTTATCGATTTTACACCTTACCACCATGTGCGATGCTAAAGTCATTTTTACCTACATTGCAATGTGCATTTGAATTTGATCTTGAACTAAAAAGAAATTCGAGAGAATAAATCTCCTTAAAGTCTTGCTTGTTTTGTTTTCGTTCTGCCATAATAAACAAAAATTAATAACATTAATCGAATGGGCGAGTAATTGTTTTCACTGCTAATCCACTAGTTTTTTTTTTCTTTTCAAAGTTTGCTTTTGCACCGGCAAACAGGAAGTTGCTTGATAACGGGGAACGCTCTTGCTTGCAGAAGAAGCTGAATTCCTTCTCTCATTGATAGAAGAGAAGAGAAATCCATTACGTCTCAATTAACGAAACTACAAGCTAGCTGGTAACAATGCGGAATGACTTCTGCGAAATGTAGATGGGCTAGCTATGCATTGATTATCAAAACTTTCATTAAAGCACAATAATTATATTTGGTATGTTCCCTTTCTATTACCAGTAGAACTGCTTCATGAGGCACTGGGAGGCTCACGGCCCTGAAACCATCCTTAAACGGTAACTTAGACAGCTAGCCTAGATTTAAATAAACAATTAGCAAGATTAATGCTGGCCCTTTTGCTCTACAAGGAAGAGTCCTGGGTATTTTTGAATTGAATGCAAAAATTTGAAGCATTCAATCTTTAAACAGCTGAAACAGAGCTGGGCTGAAAGTTATACGAAAAAGAACTGGTTGCAAAGCCATTTCATTTATATTTTGTGTTTGTGAATAGTAAGAGAAGCTATTACTATTTTTAGTTACAAACCATTCATCACTATTTACTTAATCTAGGGTAAAAGAAGACAAACAGTACTATAGATATGTTATAACTGTTAAAGGTTTTCATAAAATTTATAATAGGACCATTTGTTCTATGTTTGACAATGGTTTTAATTCCAAATCCTGTGGGTAGAAATTTTGCTGCTTGTATTAGTTTTTGATTTTTTTTTTCATTTAATTGTAATGCTTTGTAAATCTCGCTTATGATATAATTGATTCTGAAAATTTGATATTTCTTTTTAAATTTTGTGTATTTGTTGCTTAGAAATGTCCCTCAGAGATATCTATAAGTTGTACGAATAATCGGCATATTTTTTTTAGACTGGTGATGGTGTTAATGATGCTCCTGCCCTAAAAAAAGCAGAAATCGGTATAGCCATGGGATCTGGAACAGCTGTTGCAAAATCTGCATCGGAAATGGTATTGGCTGATGATAATTTCTCTACTATTGTGGCAGCTGTGGAAGAAGGTCGAGCTATTTATAACAACATGAAGCAATTTATTCGTTATTTGATATCCTCAAACATCGGAGAAGTAGTGAGGTAATGATTCTGTTATATATAAAATGTATATTATAGTTTTAATTAAGAATATTGATCTTACTATTGATACTTTAGATAGATAACCTTGGTGAATAAATGGTACTAAACTGGATTAATTTATTTATCTTTTCATACTTTAAAGAATAACTAAGGAATATTAATTCTGTATACCATATTTTCTGATAAAAGCGGCATACGTCGATAAAATTTTATTGTTTTGTTTTTTTAAAGTTAGCCTCTGAGGCGAGACACTGCGCATATCAGCATCCTTATAGAAGAGACCTTTAAAGTACCATTTAGAGTATCTGTATAGTAAAATAAAAAAATTATGCATTTCATAAAATAAAGTTTTAATTTCTAAATTATAAAAAAAATAAAATCCGTTAACAGGTCCGCTCACTTTCGGCTGTAGACTGTTTAGACAGGGCTGGACTAGGTCATCTTTGATACAGGTTAATTTGGAATAAGTGTGCATTAAATGGTTTAAAAATAAGTACAACAAAATATTTTTAAATACATCAAATAACATAATTTCTAAACAAAACAAAAATTGGAGGAGGGGGGAGAGAGAATAGCCTAAAATTTAACCTCTTCACTACTGAAGTGTAAAGGAATATAGCCAAAAATTGTTTTAATGTTCTGAATTTCTATCTTACTGCCATAAGTCAAAATAAGATTAGCAACATATATAATATACTGCCAGAGATGCTAATAATTTTAAGTACTCGTGCCTGAACCTAAGATCTTAACTAAAATTTGGCTGTGCCCTCTTTTGTCTTTAATCTTAATTGCCAGATTTGGTGCCGTTTTGTTTATTAGAATACGGCACCAAATCTGTTTGGCATCGAATTTGGTTTAATTTTTAATGCTTTAATTACATACATCATATTTTTTTATTTAAGTACCGTGTTGTGCCTTGCATACAATCCTGATCAATTAATTTTTTTTTATTTATAGTATTTTCTTAACTGCTGCTCTTGGACTTCCTGAAGCTCTAATTCCTGTTCAGTTGCTGTGGGTGAATCTGGTTACTGATGGTTTGCCAGCTACTGCATTAGGCTTCAATCCTCCTGATCTGGACATTATGGAAAGACCACCACGCAAAGCAGATGAATCCTTAATATCTGGTTGGCTTTTCTTTAGGTACATGGCCATTGGAGGTAAGTCTTAATAGTAATCATTCCAGATATTATATTTAAACTAAACTTGTGAAAACTTCATTAATTTAAATAGAAATACTAATTGTGCTCTATTATTAAAATAGGTTATGTGGGAGCTGCAACTGTAGGTGCTGCATGTTGGTGGTTTATGGCTGCCCCAGATGGGCCACATTTGAGTTACTATCAACTTACTCATCATCTCGGTTGTAACCAGGACCCGGATAATTTTGTCGGAGTGGACTGTAATATTTTCTCAGATCCTCACTCCATGACTATGGCACTTTCTGTGCTTGTGACAATTGAAATGCTCAATGCTTTAAATAGGTAACTATTTTTCCAATGTGCAAAGTTTACTTTAAAGTTCTGCTAAAATTACTAGAGAGATAAATTAGAATATATTGTAATCTTTTAACTAAATCTAAATTATTATTTATCACTAGATAGTTTATGTAATTTTACTTATAATTATGTATCCTGCTATTAAAAAAATTGATGCAGAGCTGTTTTTTTTTTTTTTTTTTTTTTTTTTTTTTTTTTTTTTTTTTTTTTTTTTTTTTTTNTTTTTTTTTTTTTTTTTTTTTTTTTTTTTTTTTCCGTCTGATTTTAATCAAAAGTTTTAATTAACAATCTTTAATTTCCTGCCCTATTTATTGTTCCAGAATTTTAGAACTCTTGAATAATTTTGTACAAAGAAAAAAACTTTGTGAATTAAGCTGCCTTATTGGGTTGGAATCACATTCATATGTATTATCTTTATAGATGAAAAAAAAATTTGTAGGATGGGGTTTAGTTCTTTTAAAATACTGAGTTCTTGGTGTCTGTAGTTTATTTAAATTGATTTTAATTCCTTTTACAATTAAATGTTAACAGTTTTTAAAATAGTGTAGTGAGGGGTTGTTCACAAATTTATTTCATAATTTTTAGTTGGTTTATTGGTAAAATTAGTAAAACACAAATAAAAATATTGTGATTCAATTATTAAATGACAAATCTAATTAAATTTTTTAACGATATTAAATTTATCAAATTGATTCCTAATAAGAAATTATTCCAATTGAGAGTTCAGTAAGTAATAAAATTTTAAAAAAATTTAAAAGACATATAACTAAAAATGAAATCGCTGAATATGTTAATAAAACAATTTCATATTTTTTATTGTAGTTTGATTACTTATAAATATTTCTTTATTAATATTTTGGTAAACTGCATCCAAATTATGTAACCACACTTAGTTCAGTTTTTTTTTTCTCCTCAAAACTACTGTTTCATGCCTGTTTTTTGAAGCAATATAAAAAGCTGTATTAATGGTAGGTTAATATAATAGCTATATTTATGGTAGGCATGTTCTTTAAAGTACTGAAAACTGAAATTAATGCATAATTGCCCAGGAAAACTGAATTGCTGCTCACATAGGAATGCAATTTCCGTATATTGCATGTTACTGTGTGTAACTGTATCTATTATGCCCTTCTAACAGAATCAATAAGATAGGTATTTATTACATAGAAATGGTTAAAGAAGTCTTGTATAAGACCATAATTTTTACGTTAGGGAAAAATGTTTTACTTTTTTTTTTTTTTTTTTTTTTTTTTTTTTTAAGGTTTAATTTTTTTATTTTTTCCATATATATTTTGAAATTTTGATTAAAACGACTAAAATTTATATCTTTAAATTTTGTTATGAAAAACCTGAAAATCTTAAGGATTTTTTTTTCGGGAAGTGATATTTATATAAATTTAAATATTTTTGTTTTGATACTTTGAAGCAATCTATTTGTAATAGTTTTTTTCATTTAAACTAATTGCTTTAATTGGAAAAGGAACATGTGTTACGAAATGCATCGAAACTTTCATTTGACTAAGAGCATGAGATAATTTTCAAGAAATATCATCTGAAATTAAAACAGACATCTTTTTATGTTTATGATTATTCATACCTCTGTTTAAACTTACAGAAGAATTAATTTATTAAAATCTCTTTATCTATTTTTATTAAAAATTAAGATAATACATTATTTTATTACTTGTTCATCTTTATGTTAAATATGTTTCTCCCCTCTAGCTTATCAGAAAACCAATCTTTAGTTTTGATGCCACCTTGGACAAATTTGTGGTTGATTTCTGCTATCACTTTATCTATGACTTTGCATTTCATCATTCTCTATGTTGATATACTCTCAGTAAGTCTTTTCTTCATTTTATATTGCCTAGTTGACGTTTGGGAGAAAAATAAGTGTTCAAAGTTATTTTTATCGCAATTTTTGTGTAATTTTAATTTATAGTTGTTGAAGTTTTATTTATCCTTCTATAACTCGGTTAAGGTTGTGCATCTTCCATATTTGATGTGATTAAAATTTTATCTATTTAGTTACTTTGATTTTTAATCTAAATTTGATGCATCATCCTGTTTTAAAACGAGCATAATTCCTCCAGAACTATCCCACTCCACCCTAATTGATTTAAATTATTGGTTAGGCATATAAATAAGATTATTTTGTTACTATCAATACTATAAGTTTATATTCTGGATTAAAGTGATAAAATTGATATATTTTAAAAATTTAGATTTCTGTTGATTTGTATTGTTGATGCAAAATAATTATAAGAGTTTAGAGAATTAAAAAGTAAAACTTCATTTATAATTACAATTAAGTTTTATTATGATTTTTTTGTGTGTCATAGATTAAAGTATTAAAAGTTAAAATAGCTTTGTGTTGATTTACATCAATGATATGCAAGTCGACAAAAGTAACTTTGTTAAAATTAAAAGAAAATGCATAATTGAATCAATAAAAAAATTTCCCCATTAACTGTATTAGATTTGTTACATATAATGTGATAATATCTGTAATAATTTTAATGTCAAATTTCTTTGCTTAGGCTGTATTTTCTGTCTGCCCGTTGTCCGTCACAGAATGGCTGGTGGTACTCAAAATCTCATTTCCTGTCATCATCCTTGATGAAACCATGAAGTTCTTCTCTAGGAAATTCAATGAAGGCCGAAATCCCTTCACTGAACTGCATTGGATGCTTGCAATCTGGGCTGTATATATTGCCCTAATGATATATTCCCCTATTTAGGCGATCTGTGATAGCAATTAGGAAAAAAAACAAACTGAAAGCATTACATCAAATTTCATCATGACAAACATTAAATGTTGTAAGAAGTTTTAACATTTCCCCCCCCTAAATTAACGCTCACTTAAAACATCTTTTTGTGAGCTTTATTGCCAACCATAGAGAACACAGAAATTTGCATCCTGTTCTAATGGAACTGTAGAGTTTGAGCATTTTATTAATAATTTGAACTGGAGTCTTGTAGACTGAATGTTTTTATTTATTTCTCTTTTTCTTTACCATTAATATTTATAAAATAGTATTTTATTTTATTTTACATGTTTCATTTGCTTTTCTTTCTCACCACATTCAGCATTTTCTTTGTATAGATATTATTTCTGTTATTTATTTTTCTGTTACAGAAATTGGTTTGGATGAAAATAAGATCAATTATGAAGTACAACTAAACTTAAATAGTTTTTATCTAATGAGCATTTTACTTATAGTAATTGGGATCTAACATTCCATTAAAGTTAATAGGAATGGCTTGGAAATTTTGTTTGTCTTTAATATTATTATTTTAGCCAAAATTTTTTTGAAGCGTATAAATTGAACATATCTTTGTTTTGAATGCATTTTCTTTAAGAAAAAAAAGTACCAAAGATTTTTATCAGTTTATAATTTTTTTTTCTAGCATTAAATTTTTGAGCAGAATGTGATTTTTTTTAATTTTATAGTTTTTGAAAAATTGCATTTATTTTGAGAGCAAGTTCTTACCAATGCCAATTTGCGATTAAAATTTTTACTTTTGAAAAGCTTAAAAAAGAATACCTAAAACCTGCCAATATTATTTGAAAGGCAAAATTTTGGTTTTAAATATATTTGAATACCCAGCCTACTTATTTAATTAAGTTAACCTATTATGTATTTAATACCTACTTAAAGCAACTTTCACCCTTTAATGTTTATGGCTGTGCACAATAACTTCTTTTTAGTTTATTATTTATTGCACAAAATGTGGATTTTACTATGCATCGACCTTCATCTACATTCTATATAGCATATGAAAGTACAACTGACATGGGAATAAATACTCAAAGAAAATTTATGCGTATTTATGAAAGAATGTCCTGCTTTATAACTAATCCCCGATATCTGTGAAACTGATGAGCATTGATGAAATTTAACGTGATGAAATGGCAAAAAAAAAATTATGCGAAGGGTTTATGTAACTTTTTGTCTCATTCAAACAAAAATCTCCAATAGAGAAACAAAATGTTACCTTTTAGATCTGCCGTTACTTGAAATAAACAAGTAAAAAAAAGTGTATAGTTATTTAAATGTGCCTCTTGTAATTTCTCCTCGGAACATATAGAAATAAAAAAACTATTACCATCCCACCATGTATACAACGTTAGCCTTTTATACATTTTTGCAATTCATGTTAATGCAGTAATAATGTTTAGGTCTACAGCTTTGCAAGCAGAACATCGATATTTATCTGTAAATATATTAAACTGAAAATGAATTTATAGCATGTATTAAACTTATCCTTCATCCTCAAAATGTGTGCTGTTTTCCTGAATTTAATGTGGTTTCTATTTCTTCCTCCCTTTTATTGCCTGTTATGTGTTTTCATAACTATTTATGTAGAGCAGAACATATATATATATAACAATCCCATGCAATAAATTCTTTAACAACTGTTAAGATAAATATTGTATATTTATAGGGAGCCTTGTGTTTCCTTACGCAGAAATCAGGTTTTTATAAATGAGTATTACAAATATTTGTTGGCTGAATTTTGTGGGAACTCTCCTGTAAATCACAATTATCAGTTCAGAAAATAAAGTTTTACAGTTAAATGTTGCCTATGATTTATTTTTATCTTTATTTTAACAGATACAGATAATCAGCAGGATTTCATACTGTTTAAATTGTGTTTTACTACATTTTCACTGGCATAAATTATTTTTTAAATTAAATTTATTATTATGTAATAACTGGCTGTGTTCATGGTTAAATTGAAGTGAGTTTTTATTTGCAGAGAAGGGTGGTAAAGTTGACCATTTTAGCAGATAGTATCTTTTTTTTTTTGTTGCTGTATTAGTGATTGTTTAAAAATTTAGCTAAATGTACAAGCCAAACATACGCTGCAATTAATAAATTCATAAATGTTCATGATCAGAGCAGCAAGTTTGTCGCAGGGCGAATTCCGCATTATTTAATGATTTTTACAAATCTTTTGAAATGTTTCAGTTGCACAAAAATTGTTTAAAACGTGAGGTTTTTCCCCCACTTATATTTTAACAGTAATTAGTTCACCTGAAGCTTCAAAATAGATAAATGTAACTGATAAAATGTTTAAGAGTAGATTAATGACAAGAAAATAGTCCAAACAAGTAATGTGGATTTTTATATACTTTGGATTATATGCTATGTGGAGGATTCCTTTCTTCTTTAAACTGCAATAATAAAACAGAAGGAAGAAAAAGTTCGTTTAGTTAAGTTATTATTACCTTATCCCGAAAATTAACTGAATTAAGAAGTAAAACAGATAACTCTCTGCATTGTGTTAGGACCTTTGTGGAGAAAGGCTGGCAAACTAATATTTGATGAACGATAAAACACTAATGAGAATAATTGAACAATGTACAACATTTTGTGCAGAAATTCTGTTCATTTGAATAAAATAAAAATTGCAGAAAATTGAAAGAAACATCTATTTCCAGCTCTTATTACATTTATAATATGTCTTTTAGTGTATATTTGTGTTAATAGGGTGCGTAGCATTTTTAAAAAGTGCTTAAAGGTGTTTGTTTTCGTTTTTTAAAAGTGCTTTCTTTGAGTGTTTTTAAAAAGTGCTTAATTTTATGTCGATTTTTGCTTCGAATTATCCAATAAGACAGTTCACATTATTCTATTCAATGTTTTCACAATTAATTCAATCCCAATCTATTTCGACTTATTGTCAGTCCGTAGCGTATGAAAACGCCATTCGTTTTACATGATTAAAAATTTCATGATTTTTAACAATGTCATAAGGTTTTTTTTTTTTTTTTTGACATAACGGTTAAAACAAGATAAAACCGTCAATTGTTGAAAACTATCCAACCCTGCCTAATTATATTTTTTAAGGTGCTTAAAAATATTTTATGAGTGCTTGAAAAGTGCTTATTTTTCTTGAATAATTTAGCTACGCACCCTGGTTAACTTCCATGAATTTTTCCGTTTTTTCTTTAACCACCTTGAATTTTTCTATCGGGGTTAGTATGATAATACACGTCCATTATGAAAAATTAAATTATAGAATTTGATATAATTCAGTACTTTGGAAAACTTTTTTCCTGGCAACAACAAAAATGACTTAAAATATAATTTACAACCAAAGATTTTAACTGTAAGATGACAATATTTTTAGATACGTAATGACAATTACAGTTGCAGCTCCGTTCAAGTTTTAGGTAACATGTTATGTGAAGGGGGGGGGGTGAATTAGGTAAGCTTTCTTCCACGTGATATTTGTAGCAGAGTTCATTCATGTCTTTTTGTTAAAATTCTTTTCATGAAAACAGGGTCCAGACTTTTTGTGAAGGGTCCTATTTTTTTAAATTTAAGAAGCCTATTCGTAATTCCCTACCTACCGAAGCCCTACCTATTCATAATTTTCTGGATCTATAGAATCTGGTTCTTTCTGCTAGGGTTCTGTTCTTGTTGGAAAAAGGACACCAAACGAAGTAAGTGTTGAAATAATGATTAAAGGAAAAATGAATAAATATGACAACCAAAGCTGACATTTGGTACCAGCTCTGGAAGCCATAAAAGCAAAACCTTTTCTATTGAGAGAGTACCCCAAAGGTTTTGCCCAAGTCCAGGAAAAGCAAAACTGGTACAGAGAGAGCAATTTGGCATGCTCTCTCGATAGAAAAGGTTTTGAACTTACAGCTTACACAGCTGGTACCCTCTGAAGACGTCAGCTTCGGTTGTCGTATTTATTCATTTTTCAATTCCTTTTGGATTCTTAGAGCGTTTTCCCACTATTAATTATTTTGATTTCTTTTCTTATAATGTAATGATAAATTATTTTGTGAAGTGTTCATAAACAGACTTTAATTGGCTCTCCTTGAAGGACTCTTGAATGAGGAAAAGTTTTGAAAAACATTTAAATTCATAAAATTATTTATCGAATATTTAAAACTGAGGTATCAAATTGTGATGCAATTTTGTTATCTCCAAATAAAAGAATGAACGAAAGGAAAGAAAAATTCAGCTTACACCCCCCCCCC